TTGTTAATTGCAGGTTTATTAAGGGCCTAGAGATTTAAATCTTATCAGAGTGGGAGTTCTGGGCGTCGGAATGGGTGAGACAAGTGGCGGCGAATTCGCCGAGTGGCTTGTTGTCGAACATGGCGACTCTTACGCCAATGCCACAAGCGATGGGTCACAGGTCTTGAGGGAATCGGAAGACGACGAAGAGACAAGGCGGAGTTGGGATGTAAGATCTCACATCGCCTAGGGGAGTGATCCTTATATGTATATTAACATCCCTACCTAGCACGAGGCCTTTTGGGAGCTCACTGGCTTCGGGTTCTGTCGGAACTTCGAAGTTAAGCGAGTAGCGCGCGAGAGCCATCCTATGATGGGTGACCCACTGGGAAGTTCTCGTGTGAGTTCCCATAAACAAAACCGTGAGGGTGTAGTCGAGGCCCAAAGCGGACAATATCGTATTATGGTGATGGAGCAGGTCCGGGATGTGGTGGACCCCGGGCTGGGATGTGACAAATTGGTATCAAAGCCTAACCCTGGCCGTGGTGTGTTGACCAGGTCATCGGGCGTGGATTGTAGGATCCCATATCACTTAGGGAAGTGATCCTTATATGTATATTCTCATCCCTACCTAGCATGAGGCCTTTTAGGAGCTCACTGGCTTCGGGTTCTGTCGGAACTCCGAAGTTAAGCAAGTAGCGCGTGAGAGCAATCCTATGATGGGTGACCCATTGGGAAGTTCTCGTGTGAGTTCCTAGAAACAAAACCGTGAGGGCGTAGTCAGGGCCCAAAGCGAATAATATCATGCTACGGTGGTGGAGCGGGCCCGAGATGTGCTGGACCTCGGGATGGGATGTGACATGGGAGACCAAGGCGTATTTGAGAAAGCAGTCGAAGGAGTCGTGTGTCCTGGGACTTCTTAGATGGTGAGCTGCGAGTGACGGCGTGTTGCGAGGAGATGAGGTGTTGCAAACAGGGAGGAAATGAGGAGGCATCTTGGGATTGGGTTTTTTGGGTGTAGGGTTTTGGCCGCATCCTTGTTCATTTAAAATTTTTAAATTTCCACATGGACCTTTAATGACATATAGCATCAAGTCATTATCCACATAAACGTCACGTCACTAATTAACGACTGACTTTTAAAGTGATAAACTGAAATTAACCCGGTATATATTACACTTCCTAAACCTACCGTAGATTGACCTAACGTGAACCACTTTAAAATGGAGAGAAAAATACACTCCAACCAATGTGAATGTGACATAATTAACTGGAAAGTGATTGCACTGCAGCAGGACAGCGCGTTAGCTTTAGCTAAAACGAGCCATCTTCATTATGTCTGACAAAAGCTTATGGCTTCCAATATTAAAGTCTTAATCACACATGTAGGCCCCATTAATTAATTAAATAATAGAAGCAAATAAAATAACTATGTACTAATTGGAAAACCTTGGAAGAATGACAAAATCCTCAGACACAGACACCTCATTCTTTAAGCCAAATGGAGATAAATAATTAGGTTTAAACGGCTAATTAATTAAAGGAGGCAGATTATCTGTCATCTCTTCCCGTGACCTCCTATGTCTGTGCCCTTCCATATTTTTTTATTTTGTGTGGTCACAATTAAATCATGTCAACATTTTATATATTTTTTTTATAGAGATAATAAGACAAAAATGAATAGTAATATAAAATGTTGACGTGATTTAACTGTGATCACAAATAGAAAAGCACATGAGGACACGGGAAGTGGGAGGGCAAAGAATCTGCCTCCTTAATTAAAAAGCTTTAAATCTGTAGGGTATTATCGAGGTTGTTCGCAGGTATTTTTATAGGAGTTCGTTTTCAAAGAAACCGACGTTTTCCATTTTTAATTTGCCTTTTAATTATTGTAAGAAAGAAAATTTGATTAATCTTTGTCGCTGTCCATACTGGGGCATGTTCGCCTCAAATATTTTCAGTTCAATTCTTTTAGTTTATTATGCATGCATTAATTTTTTTTTAGTTTATTAATATAGGTTTAACATAATTATATCATTGCTACTTAATATTACGATTTAATATTATTCATTTTCATTTATAAGAGAGACATTTTATGTTCGATTCTCGGCAAAGACGAATTTGAATCATATTATTACTAGTCCATTATGAGACTAAGTCTCACCCCCTACCTCTTAGTATACATTATATTTTTTTGGTTAAAAAAACATAATTATATCATTGGTTAGTAAGTTTTGACATGAGGAATGAGTAGCCATCGCTAAAATTGCATAACATATATGGATCAATGACCTTTTCAAATAACACAGTTCAAATTTTCATCTAAAGTAAAATGTTTGAAGAAACAAATAGGGAACGAAAGTTCTAACAAAATTAATGTACTCTAATTTTTTTTTCTTTTCCTTCTAAATAATATAAAATTGTGGATTAAACAAAGGAAGTGGATTATCTGCCCTCCCATTTCCATACTCTTCACATTCCCTTCTGTTTGTGTGGTCACAGTTAAGCCACATCAATATTTTATATTCCTATTACTTTTTGTTTTATTTCTATAAAAAATTAATATAAAATATTAACGTGGCTTAACCGTGATCATGCATTACAGAAATGTATGAAAAGAGTATAAAAATGAGAGCGCAGACAATCCAACTCCTTAAACAAAAGCCTTAAAAAAAACAGAACTGCTTAGGGTGAGTAATGTAATCAAGTGGGTGCTTCAATCAAACATGGCCCATGTGGCTTGATGAGTAGGTGTCCCAAAAAAATAATCAGAAAAAATGGAAAAACTCAATAGGCTTAGGCTATGTGAGGCTACGAGACAGGGAACTGTGTATAATAATAGCATAAAGAATTGTAACTTAAAAAAATATGTCTTAACAAAGAAGAAAATAAAAACAAAAATTAAAAAAATAAAAGAGGAAAAAAGAAACGTTGCTTTTTAAAGGAGGGAGGAGAATGACGCGTTACGTGTTTGGTGCATTACATACAAAAATAATGCAAGACATGAAACATGGTTTGACAAAATTCAATCCAACCATGTTATTCGCCTGCCTTCATCATTGTTAAACACACCATAAACTAATGCTGTTTTGAACTCAAATGTGTGCTTCAAATAGAGATTCGAACTTAGATACAAAGGTGAAACACAGTATTCTATCAAACTCGGTTACGTATGTTACCTTTATGTATTTAATTAGCCTGACCAATAAAACTCTACCCAACCAAATCTAGCGTTGAGTTCGGCCTAGCACCTGGCGGCTAGACGTGTGCCTAAGCAAATTTAACTATATTTATTATATATTGTATAAATAAGTATTTATTTATACTTAAAAACATACATAATTATATTGAGACATAAATTACAAAATAAAATGACACATAAATTATAAAGTATTTAAACATGGAAAAAAAGCATATAATAAGTGAACATCCAAGTATTCAACAAGTTTCTTACATTTTATTGAAAAATTAAAATGCAAAATGAAAGTTATCAAATTTCTGTCTAAATCAACGTCGCGACCTAAGCAGGTGTCTAGGCGGATGCCTAAGCGTGTCTATGCACACTGTCTTAATTTTCAAACACCTAGGAACTAATTAGAATGGTAGCCAGCCCCTAACACCTATGCGGGACCTAGACGGGTGCTAGACGGGGATCTTAAGACAAGTCTTAATAAGGACTAACAGATAGTCGGAAACGTTTTTGGAGGTCACGGGTTTAAATCTCATAGACGACAGTTATTAACATAACAAATAGGACTGTCTAACGGGAAAAGAGAGAGTTCTAACATTGACACAATAATGTGATGGGGAAAATAAGCCTCGTACATGAAACATTGCTTGTTTTTAGCATTGAGGAACTATTTATACATGGAAGTCCCTTAAACCCTACAACAAGCATGTGATCAAATGGACAACTAACCAACCCAACAATTTTATGTTATAATTAAGCACTCAGAAGAAGGACCAAATAGAGACATATTAGTATATCACTGTAACTCCTTTTGATCTCAACCAACTAGGTTAGTTGTTCCAAAATTGTGTGCGGTTAGCTGTATCGCTAGAAGTTAAATTGCTTCTAGTGACCGGGAATTTGATGGATCCCTTTAATCCTAGTTACAGCAAGAGGGGCAACAAATACTTCATTAGGATGTTACTAACTGCTAAGCGGAATCACAGAGAACTTACAGGAGCAAAAGAGCGAAAGAAACCCCATGCTAAAAGAATGATAACAGGGTGTTGCTAGGCGGAATAACAGAGAACTACAGGAGCAAAAGAGCGAAAGAAACCCCGTGCTAAAAGAATGATAACAAGGTGTTGCTAAGCGGAATCACAGAGAACTACGGGAGCAAAAGAGCGAAAGAAACCCCATGCTAAAAGAATGATAACAAGGTGTCATGCATGAGATATATATTTTCAACATGATGCACACAAATAGGAAATTATAAATCGAACTGGCAAGCACATGAACTGCTATCTATAAAGCCCAGCAGAGAGATTAGTATTCCGGCAATCAATCCCTATGCAAGTGAACTTAATATAGCAAATAAATGAACTACTGTCTATAAAATCCATAGAATTGACAAAGTTGTAATAAGTTATCTAGAAACCCGGGAGATGGATTCAAATCCGGCAAGTTCTTTTCCATTTCTAGTTCATTCGTTGTCAAGTACACAACATATCATCACCCTCTTAACCAGAAGAAAATGCAGCTTCCCTCTTAAAACATTGAAGTACCATAGCAGCAATATCCAGGTCCAAAATAAATAACAATCTACTAGGCTTGCCTGTTAGATGATTTGTTCTACCGAGAAATCACTAGTCCATCTGACTAGATATACAATACGCAAAGGGGCCTCACAAACACGACAATTCATAAGGATTAAGTCATAACAGAGGCGCCAATAACATAGTTCAATATTTATTGACATATTATCAGAGTAGAGTAAGCTGGAACCTCCGCAATAAATTGTGAGTTGCCAAAAACCAACCTCCCCTGCTTGTCAAAATGCTGCTCCTGCTCCTCAGCACCTCCAAGCTGAAGCGGAGATGAGCTCTCGCCGCTGCCAGCATAGAACTAGTGACTCTTGTCGCTTCTCGACATGGAATCCCCTTGCTGGATTCCTCTTCACCACACATTCCGCCTGAGTTTCAGTGAAGTTACTGAAGGGTACAGGAGTGAAACCAGCGGAGGCAAAGAGTGTTTTCCAAAGGGGCATCTTGTCTGGGGTTCGGAGACGCCCCAGAACAGTGCTCTCGATCTTGGGCTGAAGGAGGAACCTCTCAATCTTGTTCACAGCATCGGAAGTCACATTAACAGCATCAAGTGATTCCAAAAGGTTTATGTACGACTGGAGGGCCTGCAGAATGTGCTGTGGGAATGGGAGGTCACTTCTATCACACCCTCTATCCAAAGATACCACAATTTTGGGAGATAGCTGCTTCACAAAGCGAAGGACATTAGGCAAAGCAGCTGGTTGATTAGAAGTAGACCAAATGGGGAAATTCACAGCAACTGCCTCATTATCGTTGGCTCGAAAAATGGGCAGGGAGTATGAGTTTTGGTCCAGAGAATCAATGTTAACCACTTCAAGATCAAAGCTTACACCAATCTCATTAGCGAATTGTGTCAAATTATCACACATAAGCCCGAGCTCAACCGGGTGGTGAGTCGAAGGTGAAGCAAAGGCAGTGATTCTGAGTGAAGGGGCAGAAGCACCCCTATTCCTGATGGGAAGCTCCTGCATAAAGGAAGCCCAATGAGCACCAAAACCAATATCGAAATCAACAATGTGAATCTGATCAGCGTCGGAGAGGGCCTCGAGGAGGGCCTGGTTGCAGGTGAAATTGACAAACTGAAGGAGCGGAGAAACTTCGGAGAAGACTTTGTAAGCCCCCATTTTGAAGATGATATCAAATGGGGTCGGAGTTCTCGGTGGTGGAGAGGTGGCAGGATTGTTCATGAGGAGGAGGAGTTGCAAAGCCTCCTTGAAATAGAAAGCAGCCCTCTGAAGGGGCTTTCCAACAGGGGAAAGCTGGTGATTGAGCCGCGCCAATATCCCTTGCGCGTGTGAAAAGTTCCCAGTCCCTACCAGCTCTGCGGCCTTATAGAGCTGGTCGAGCAAAGTATGCTGGAGCTGTTGTTGCTGCTGGTGGTGAGCCATTTCTTCACCATTTCCCAGCACAACCTTCTGTTTCGGCACCATTAACGGCTTCTGCTGATGCGATGCTGCTGAGGCAGAAACTGCATCCCTTGAGCAAACCCGAATTGCTGCTGCTGTTTTCTCATAAAAAACTCTTGCCCTGCATCAGAAAACTGACCCTTTTGGATCTGATGAGTACTCGGGTCTACATTCGTGCCTGAGTTGGGGCGTTTGGGCTGGGACTGAAGCAGGTGGTGCTGTTCTTGCTGGGCATACGCCAGTGGCATGAAAAAGTTCGGATTCTGAGCCACCTGAGGCTGCTGATTTTGGTTGCTCATGAACAGCTGGGGGTTCAGAATCTGCGGCTTCTCGTCCGGGCTTAATTGCTGCTGCCCGTAAACCGCAGGCAAAGATACCGGCAGAGCCAAAGTGTTAGACGAATTCGAGAAAATGGGGTTTTGAATGTTGCAATTGACACTGTTGCTGCCGCCATTGTTGTGAATCAACTCAACATTTGAAACCTTGTAATTTAGCAACCCAAAAGACCCAGAACCCGGAGGAACAAAACCCAGCTTCCCATTGCTGCCATTGTTACTGCCGTTCCCAAAACCCGAACCGCCGAACCCGAAATTCGGGCCCGAAACGCCGCCGTTTCCAATTAGGTCGAAATTAGGGCCCTGATCGACAACACCCAACCCGGCATTGCCGTCGAAATCAAGGGGGCTGTTGTGGTGGCGGTGGTGGTTGTTCCCGCTCTGCAAGAGCTGCTTGAGCCCAAACGACGTGTCGTCCACATCCCCAGCGATCCACCTCAGCAGCGACTGGTCGTGACCCGGAGACGCCGTCGTTTCGGAGAGCATGGTCTCCCAATCCTCCAACCCGCCAAGCCCAAGGTCGCATCTCTCGACTCCTCCTCCTGCTGATCCGGTCACGGCCTCCAAACCCCCACTCGGAATCGACTGGAGCTCGCAGGCCCACTCGTCTTTCGACGACGTTTGTCCCACCGCAGGCGGAGTCTCAGCTGCCAGCGGCGTCAATTTGTCGCCGCCACCGCCGCCGTTGTTGAAAGAGGAAGAGAGAGTGGAAGCCGAAGTGGGTGGGCTCGGGCTTCTTCTCATATGAAGAACCGAATTGGGCTCGCTGGTCGGAAAGCTGTGGTGGTGGTGGTTGAAAAATCCGCCGTCTTTGTACTTGCTGCAGCTGCTGTCTGTGAAAATTGCCGGCAAACTTGCAGTTGCTATTTCGATGACCCCCTTCCCCTGCTGGAACTGAAAGGGCATCCCTCTCGTAAATTACACAAATTACAGCTAAAAAAAAGCTCAAATCTTTGCAAAAATGGCGTCTTCTTTCCAGATTTGTGCAGAAAAATCTCTTTTCAGCTCAAACAAAACAAACCCATTTCGTAAAAATTCTTAAAATCAGCTCTTTCTTTTCCATCACTGGGAAAGTTGCCTGTTTTCCTGCTCGGTTCCATCATATCTTCCTTTACCATTTGCCACACACAGCTCCATTTCAATACTCTCTGTCTGTCTCTAACTTTCTCTCTCTACTTTTTTTTCTCTCTCTCTAGAATTTGCAATTGTTAATATTGGTGGTGGAGGTGGTGTTGTTTCTTCTAATCTCTTCTTCTACCCTTGTGTCGCAGCAGAGAGTACTCTGTACCCTTCCCTGTTCTGCCATGGATGCGTGCATCATAAAAAAGGTAATAAAGTGTGCTCTCCCTCCTCACCATCCTCTCTCTCTAGTCCCTATCTCTCTCTCTTTCTCTCTCTCGCTACAATTTTTTAATTTTTTTTCTCATTTTATTATTATTCCTCTCTCTCTCTGTCTCTCTCTCATATTGCTTGCTGGGTTTTTTCTGTCACTTCGCATAGTGGTCACGGTGTTGTCTTTACCAAAATTTACAAGGGTAAAAATGGGCGCCTGTGCTTTTTGATAGTAGGGGCACTCCCTCCCTCCTCAGATACTAAAATTACATTTATAGGCCATGTCAGATCCTGTCTTTGCGTAATTGCCTTTGCATAGATACAGTACAACTATTCATGTTCAAACTCCAATCTATCTATCTATTCTTGTTTCCCTTATCACACATTGATTTAGATCTTCAAATCTAAAATACAACCATGCTTCTATCACGCAATGAATTAAGAGTAAATCGTAACAATTGTCTTTCAACTCTAATCAAATTAGAGTAATGGTCTCTTACCTAAAAATTTATTACTATTGACCTCTCAACTCATCAAAATGTGTAGTTATGGTCTTTTTCGTCAACTTCGTTAGAATTTTGTCAAAATAAGTTATGTTGAAAGGGTCATTACTACAATTAGGGTCCCTCAACTCATCAAAACATGTAGTTATAATCATTTTTGTCAACTTTGTTAGAATTTTGTCAAAATGAGTTATGTTGGAAGGACCATTGCTACAATTGGGTTAAAGTTGAGAAATCATTGCTCTAATTGGGTTAAGGTTGAGAGACTATTTCTCCAGTTGGATTAAAGTTGAGGGATAAATGATAATGGATTTTTAGTTGAGGGACCATTGCTCCAATTAAATTAAAGTTAAGGAACCATTACTACAATTTAATGATGATTAATGCAAACCAGTCTCATAACTTTCTATTTTATTTTAAGGAAAAGTAAATTTATTTAAGAAATAAACCTTTAATACAACCATTCTCAGTACAATCAAATAGAAAAATATAGTAATGGTGATGGCGAGAAAATTCGTTTAGCGAAAGACATGCGACCAAGCAATAAAAGAAAAAAAAACTAGCAAGAGACCTGATGTCGTCAATGATTGTCCTCAGCTGCCAAGGTGTACTGCACTTGTTCAAAATGACATCAATGATAGGCTTGAAATATCCTTCAACACACAAGTCCTTACAACTTTTGACCTTTGCATATCTCAAAGCATCACGAAGAGCAAGAGCTTCAGCAACCGAAATTGTACTTTCTCCAAGATTGCGGGTAGCCAGCCACAATAGGTGAACTGTTAGCATCTCTTATGACGAAACCAGCAGCAGCCGTAGAAACCACCACCGAGCCATCAAAATTAATTTTGAGTTTAGGTGCATGAGGTGGCCTCCACTTGATAGTTTGAGATGAATCATGAACATGAGTTGCATTCAAGGTATGAATTGATCTTAAATTTTTATTGGTGAGGTGATATTGCTTGCCAACTACATCAGCAACCATAGGGACCCTAGCATGATTGGCCTTGCAATCACATAAAACAAGATTATTTTTATCATTCCACACTTGCCACCAAATTCGAAGAGCTTTACTTAGATCAGAAAGTTCAAATTCATCATTTGCATTTAGTTGGGATAGCCAAGAAATCAAATTTGAACTCGCATTCACAGGCATTGGACCATTGGAGATCCACCAAACATCCTAAAGAAGCTACAATTGACAAAGAGATGTTGTTGATCTTTTTCATCACTATTACAAAAAAAGGCAAACAAGGGTAGTATTCGGAAAGAATCTAAGCAATCTTTTTCATCTCATAACTTCTTAAAAAAAAAAAACAGTCTAATTATCTTTTTTTAAGTTGTGAAATCCTGTCCCCAAATTTCACTGTTTAAATTTTATATTTAGTAGTTTCGACACATTTATATTTACTGCGTAGAATTTTTTTTTTTTAATTTGTAAAGACTATAATGCCCCTCTTAGGCTAAACATAATTCTACATGAACGTATTTGATCCATTCATGTTTTTATTAACATTTTTTTAGCATATTTGGATAGTACGTGTTGGTATGAACACGTAAGCGTAAAAGGAACATAATTTAAAATTAGAACGAAGATTTTATTAGGCGCAAATACAGATGTATTTGAGTAATTTTACCCTTTAAGTGGACACATTTTTATTTGTCTTTTTATGACCATGTTATGATCCCGTTTGGGATTGAGGTGATTTTAAAAAAAGCCACTGTGAAAAAAAGCTGAGGGTCATTTTTGTGTTTGGTAAACTGAAAAAAAAGGGCTTATTTTGGAAGCTGCTGTGAGAATAAGCTGAAAATCAAAGGAAAAGCTGAAGCTGCTTTGAAAAAAAGCCAGTTTTTTCAAAGCACACGGAGCTACAGTGCTCCTTTAATGAAAAGACACACTATCATCCTGCTTTTTTTTCCAAAAGCACTTTCACAAAAAAATTTACCAAACACTCTACTGGCTTTATTTCACAGCCGCTTATTCTCACAGCACAGCCGCTTATTCTCACAGCAGCTTTTTTTCAAAGCACAGCAATACCAAACCAGCCCTATGTATGTCGTGTGGGGCCCACCCCTCAATAATTCTAGAACTTTCTTCCTTCTTTCTCTCTCCCGAATTCTCTCATCTCTCTCGCCCTCTCTTCTTTGTCCCGTGAAACCACACCACATCACCTTCAAATATTGTCAAGTTAATCACCAAACAAGCATCACAGCAGCCTTCCTCTATTCACAAGCTCGAAGATGAGCTTTGGATCACGAGATGAGGGACTAACGTCCTGAAGCTTTATAACAAGCCGTGTCTTTCTCATTGAATTTCAGACCGTTTCCAGTGATCTTTTGGACTCCAAACAGATAAAATCATGTTCTACTCTCCTGTAGCTTCATTTTGGTATATGGATCGTGAAATGTGGTGGAGAAATGAGTAAGATTTGGACTTTGAAAATCTTCCAGAAATCTGACGAGTTTCCCCAGATCTCAGTGACTATGACGACGGAGGGCGACGGACCGCAACAGCGACCAAAGAGTGATAGAAGACACAGTAATATATTCCTTAGCTCTCAGAATCTTCCGTTAATGAGGTAAGGTATATATCTTGAGGTTTCATTAGCTTTAATTGAATATTCCAACCGATCTTAAGCGCGAGACGGTATTTTGATGCCTAAAACCCAAAATGTTGCCCTAAATCCGTTTTGGGCATCCGTTTAGCAAAATTCCATTGTTTTAACGTAGTTTTATGGTTGACTGCCACTTAAACTTGTAATTGGCAAAGATTCGATCGTCGGATCAAAACAAAATTTTAATATGTTGTTATAGAAGCATAGTGAGACATTAAAGGAAGTTACAGATTGGAAATCCAATGTGTGGATCTTTCAAATTGAGTTACGTAGGGTTGTTTTCCCTACCTTTGATAATTGACCGACTATTGACTTTTGGTCAATGTGTCCCGAATCCATCAAGATTGTCTCAAAGGACGTGTACAACGTAAAATTATGTGTTTTATCGATAAAATTTAGAGACAAAACTTGTGATTTGTTTTAGGCGACGAACATATGTGATGCCTCATTCTTTGTGCTAGGAGCCGTAGCACAGACTCCAGGTGAGTAACTTTAATATATGTGATATCAAGAATACCCATGAAATCCCCATGCTAGTATACTTAGGGGATATTGCATTGATTTATACATATGTTTTATATTAAATTGTTATTTTTAAATTCTACCATCGATCTATTTTATGAAAAATTATTTGAAATGAATATTTGAAATGTTTGTGAAACGTGAGGACTAGTAGAGGTCCATTAACCCATTGTCATGGATAATTTTTGCATTGAACTTGTGCCATTTCTTGTCTCTTTGACCTATTGTAAACTGAGTTCCTTGAATTCGGGGTTTCGTTGAGTGGTCCAGAATCGAGTTTTGCTGGGGTTCCGTTGACTGGTCTCGAATCCCTCATACTCTACGATTCTGTTGAGTGGTCTGGAATCGTATCTTGTTCAGATTCCGTTGAGTGGTCTAATCTCTCCTCATACTATGCGATTCTATTGAGTGGTCTAGAATTGTATCCTATTCGGTTCCTTAAGTGGTCCCGAACCCATTTTTCATTGAATTTCTTTGAGTGGTCCGAAACCGCATTCCTTGTCTTGATTGGTTCGTTGATTTCTTTGAATTGGTATAGAATGTGAAAGCTTGGGTGATGTAGGCTTCAGCCAAATTATGTCACACTAGATCTAGTTTTCAGCGTATTTATGAATGATATACTTGAAAACCTTTGTGGTTTGATTGTAAAAAGGTCGATGGATGTCTATGTGACTCTTTAAGGATTTATAACGAATTGTTATAATTTTTTGAAGAATGGATTTATATTTAATGTTTATAACTATGAGCAATGGATTTATTTTATGATTATCACATACATTGGATTATTGTCACTTACACGAGTTTTGCAGCTATTTAGATTGTTGATTTATCCGAGTCACCATTCCTAATGTGTAGGGGCGATTGTGTAGGACACAGATCTTAGTTGATACGAGGACCTTTTGGGGGTAGCAGTGGTAAGGGAGGTTGGAGCAATTACATTATTCTTGTACCATTCCTGGTATTTCTTTCGACTTTCTTTTTTGCATCAACTTTGTTGTACATTTATTGTATTTGTGATAGAGAACCCACCACCATACTTGTATTTGAGAATTTTAGTATCAATATTCCTTTGCGTATATTCTTTGTATTTCCTCGCACCCATGCACCCAAACGTCACACGTCGATCCTTGACGTATGTCAATATCGAGATGTGACATAAGTATGAAGGTGAGCCAATGTCATATGCCCAAGAGAGTTATTATTTTTTTCATTTTTTAAATGCGTTGATATATTATCTTTATGTTATAAAATAGACAAGTCATAATAATTTAGAGCATGTGTGGAGCTAAAAATAATCCCAAAACTCCACAAGGTGACACGCAGACTTTTATTTAAGAAATACAAGATTTCCCTCATTAAATGGGCAAGGCTCTCAGGTGTTCTCATGCGCAACTCAGCTTCCTTGGAAGTTCAAGCAGCAGATTATGACTACTCAAA